GCATACGGGTGAATCATATGAGGTATCATTATTATTCTATCAATATTTTGAACAAGGGATATGGAATGATGTATCATATGATTAATATTTTGTATGTATGTAGGCAACAAGGAAAAAATATCAAGACATACAGGCTAAGAATATCCATCCACATCTTTTAGCTCGAGGAGGTTATAAAAGGTTGGAGAAGATGCTGATGGACGAGAAGTTGAAAGAACAACAAGCATGTGCTGATGCAGATCCGTCGTATACAATGACTCCTCCAAGTCCCATACGTAGAGCCAAAAAATGGAAGAAAGCAAGAATGGACAAGTCAGGAAATTATCGCACTGATTCAACTAGATTGGTGGCGGAAAAAATTGTAAGTACATATCTTGTCATTTACTACAGTAATAGTAATTATTATTGAATAATTTTTATATATGTTAGGATGCTCTTGAGTTGCAAATTTCTCAAGGAGAATTTGTTGAGGATGGAAGAAAGGGTTCATTGACTGTTGCATTGGGTACCGATGAGCATTGTGGACGTGTTAGAGCCATGGGAAGAGGACATGGTATCAAAAGTGTATTTGGCCATGCAAAACGTCGCCAAAAGACTCCTCAAGATGTTCAACAAATCGTTGATGCTGCTGTTGCAGTAGCGTTAGAAAAACAAAAGCAGGAAAATATTTCTGAACGGGAGGAATTTGGTCAACGATTAACAGAGCAATTTGAGGCAAAAATAGCTAGTATGATGTTTCAATTTAGTGCTATGCAGACTCCTTTACAACCAAAGCAGGTGGATGACGTATGTGTGGATACTGTGCCACCACCTCCAAGTGACAAAGCTAGTTCCCCAGACCCTTTTAGTAATTTACCGGCTGTAAGTATTCGTTTATAGTTATCATATTATTATTTATCAATAAAATTTTATATGATTTTTAATTAAAAATTATTGAAGTTAGGGGCACGATGTCATTTGTTCTTAGAAGATCCAATTAGACGTCCAGTGGCATATGGGACAGCTTACAGTGGTGGACAAGTTCATGGGGTTGTACTGGATGTAAATAATGTGAAAGTGAGTGTAAATGAAGTTCGTGATCCAACTGCACGTGTACCATTCCCCACCAGTGAGGTTCAGCTTGTAAGTGATGCAATTGAACACTTTATCATTTGGCCAAAGAAGCTGGTAGAGTTATGTACTGAAGCTACTGCGATATGTATACTGATAATATTTCTATTTTAAAATAATAAGTAATTTACTTTTTAAAATAATAATTCTTACTTGTATTATAATTCACAGTTAAAAGACAATACCATGGACAGTAGTGTTGTTCCAGATTCTTTGACTGCTGATTGCAAAAAGGCTTTTATAATAGCTCGCCTTTTCGAACAGAATCTTGTGATCCATGTGGCTCGTGGTATTATGGGCAATATTGATTATGACTTGCACCTTGAAAGTGTGGAGATAATGCGTTTCTTAAGTATGGACACCATCGATGTTTCTCTAGTTCAGTTCTTTATAAGGTAATAATAAGTTCTTTATGATTATTTATGCATTTATAATAGTTTTATATTTATATAATTGGTAATCTATGTATAATTATATTGGTTGTGTTTGTGAATAGGGGTATTTACATCAATTTTGAGTTGGCATCAAAAGACATGTATGGCTTCCTAGATCCATATTGGATTCAACCAAAAATGAATAATACAGAAGAAATGAAATCATATATAAATGCCACCATGCAGTATGAGAAGAAAAATGTATATTTAGCCCCATACGTTCTCAAGTAAATTTTAATTACGTTTTAAATTAAAGTGCTTATATATAATATATTTTTATTATATATTATATTTACTTATTTACTTATAACTAATAAATTACTTATTTGTAGTGAGCATTGGATGCTGATGGCGATTTATCCTAGATTAAATGAAATTTTTTGGTTTGATTCACTTGGTCATGGGCCGCGTGAAGACATTAAACATATAATGGGAACGTATGTAAATTTATATAATGAATTAATAGTTATTATTAAACTAGTGATGCCAAATATTTACATATATTTTATGTCTTATATGAATAGGTGTATGGCTGCAACAAGCATGATGAGTGGAAAGAAAAAATCTCGTCCACCGAAATGGACTACATGTTTGGTAAGTACTTCTTTCACTTTGTAAAACATGCAAACGTATTGTTTTTTATTACTTTTAGCTAATTTTATTGTACTTCAAATGTAGTCTGCTATACAAAAAGGAAGCACCGAATGTGGTTATTATGTGATGAAATTCATGTGGGAAATTGTTTCCAACAACCTAAGGAAAGGAATGGATAAGGCAAGTAATTTAATAATACATATTTCTTCTTCAAATGTTGTTTAAAATATTTGCTTATTTATTATTTTTATTTTTTTTGAACTTTGTAGATTTTGAAAAGACAAGGAAGATTGCCCTACAACAAACAAGAGATTGATGATGTTAGAAACAAGTGGTCTAAGTTTCTTATTGATGAATGGGTTAATAAAACGTTGCTCAATAGATACTACTTTATGTTCAAAACTACTTTGTGTTTATTGAGTTGATGTTAATTAGTAGTTGCTTGAATTAGTTGATGTTGATTGTGTTTATAGTAGTTTTTATGTAGATTGTGTTATTTATATTAATATTATTTTTAGTAGCTTAATTAGTTTCATGTTTAGTACGTAGCTTGAATTAGTTGATGTTGATGTTGAATGTAACTAGCTGCACAGGTTCTGATTGATACAGCAGGTTGGGCTAGAAAGCATCAAACATTTTTAATATAAAAAAAAATATACACATACGACGTCGGCTAATAGCCTATTAGCCGACGTTGTATAATTATATAATTATTTAAAGTAATGATACGACGTCGGCTAATAGGCTACTAGCCGACGTTGTATCATTATTATTTTTTTTTTTAAATCCATACGACGTCGGCTAATAGACTATTAGCTGACGTCGTATCATTTTTTTTAAATACATACGACGTCGGCTAATAGGCTATGTATATTTTTTTTTAAAATACATACGACGTCGGCTAATAGGCTATTAGCCAACGTCATATCATTATTAATTTTTTTAAAATACATACGACGTCGGCTAATAGGCTATTAGCCGACGTCGTATGTATATATGTATATATTTTTAAAATACATACGACGTCGGCTAATAGACTATTAGCCGACATCGTATCTTTATTTCTTAATTTTAAAATACATACGACGTCGGTTAAATAAACGACGTCATTTATTTTCTTACAACGTCGCTTTAGTCAACGTCGTACGTTAGCCGACGTTAAATGGGGTCATTTAGCCGAAGTTAAAGCTATTTTCTGTAGTAGTGTTAGTTTGATAGAAATATATTCTTTATTTCAGTAGAGGCGGGATGGGGAATGCCGAATAAATCCAGCCATACTCTATATAAAAGAATATATTGTTCATCAATAACAGTCACACATAATTCATAATATCATAACATAAAATTCATAATCTCACACAGAAAATATATAATTGCATAACAGAAAATTCATAATCTCAAAACTGTAATTTCATAAACTCACAATAGAAAATCCATAATGTCATATGAGAAAATTCATAATCTCACACAGAAAATACATAATCCCATATCAGAAAGTTCATAATCTCAAAACTGTAATTTCATAAACACACAATAGAAAATACATAATCTTATATGAGAAAATTCATAATCTCACACAGAAAATACATAATTGCATAACAGAAAATTCATAATCTCAAAACTGTAATTTCATAAACTCACAATAGAAAATTCATAATCTCATATGAGAAAATTCATAATCTCACACAGAAAATATATAATCCCATATTAGAAAGTTCATAATCTCAAAAGTGTAATTTCATAAACACAATAGAAAATACATAATCTTATATGAGAAAATTCATAATCTCACACAAAAAATACATAATTGCATAACAGAAAATTCATAAGAGAAACAGAGTATCAATAACAGTTGTGACATTATGGACATTCAAAGCTGCACAGATAGTGAATAAACAGCAGTAAAAACAATCTAAGAATCAATTCCATAATGTTATAACTATACATACATAATCTTAAAACCATATATTCACAAACTAAAAATCAATCACAGAGTTCCATATTCATAATGCTTAATCTACATATACACAATGTTACAAATATACATTCACAAGTTCATAACACTACATTCAAAACTCCATTTATAAATTTCAAAATCTTACAGAATACAAAAACCCTAAATTATAAACACATCAGGTACATAATAACTGTAAGATAAGTAAAGCAACTATTGAGAATGAGCGATGGAGAGACTGTCTCTTTTGATAACGACGGAGAACGCGAAGTGTTGTTCGAGGAATGCGAGAATGGGGAAATGGAGTTCGAGAGTAGAGAGAACGAGTGTTGAACAAAGACTTCGAGAATGAGCGGAGGAAATCGCGATTGCGAAGATGCAGAGAGCAGAGAGTAGAGAGCAGAGAGCAGAGAGTAGAGAGCAGAGAACAGAGAGCAGAGAGAATGGTGGAAGAAGGTTGCGTGAAGAAGAAGTGAAAAAATGGAAAGCTATAGTCGCGCGTTTAATTTTAAAAAAAAAATTAAAAAAAAAAAAAAAAAAACTTGATTGGTGGGAGATAACGGTGCCACTTATGGGCACCGTTACTCCCACACTAATAAAATGTCGTCGTATGGAACCGTGTTCACTATCCATGGTGAACACAGTTCCATGGCATAACAATTGCTATTATTTGGCCAGGGCCATCTTTGGCAAATTATGCCGTGGAAACTTGTTCACCATCCTTGGTGAACACGCTTCCAAGCGACGTCGTTTTATAGGCTTCACTTTAAAAAAAAAATCACTGTTCTATTAACGGCGTTAGTATCGATTTTGAATGCAGTTTCATTTTTGGCAGTTTAACAATCCTTTGATTCGATCCGATATTCACAATTCTCTCCTATTCGCGATTGATTGATTTGAACTCGTAGATGGAGGAGACAGCGGTTCGCGGAGAAGATTCAATTGTTGATTTGATTTCTGCGATTCCAGGTTCGTTCGATTTTCTGCGTTTGATTTCGTTGGATTTATGAGATTTTAGCATGTTGAAGATTTAGTTTGTTTTTATTGGTGTTTGTTCAGTATCTATGCAGTTTGAATGTTCGTAATGTCGCAATTGTTATTAGTATTATGTTTCTGTTATGAATTTTACAATATGAGATTATGTATTTTCTGTTACGCAATTATGAATTTTGATACTCTGTTCATGCATATGGTATGAATGTTCATAATTTAATAGTTCTATGTTCAAAACATATTAACTGGTATGTTACCCTGTTTGCATATATTCAGTGAATGAAGATTTTGTTGGTGATTTACTAAACACTGATCAAGCAGATGTAAACATTGACATTGGTGGCTCGTCTTCAAGTCCAGGTTCTTTTCTTAGCTTTTTAACGTGAATGTGGTTTCTGGTAGTTGTAGGTACTGATTCATGGTGATTATATGCAATTTGAATGTCAGTAATGTTGCAATTGGTATTAATACTCTGTTTCTGTTATGAATTTACAGTTTTGAGGTTATGACTTTTCTGTTATGTAATTATGAATTTTCTATATGAGATTATGAATTTTATGTTATGAGATTATGAATTATGTGTAACTGTTATTGATGGACAATATATTCTTCTTATGTAGAGCATGGCTGGATTTATTCGGCATTCCCCATCCCCCTCTACTTAAATAAGGAATATATTTCCATCAAACTTATTTCTATTATGATATTATTCACTATCTATGCAGCTTTGAATGTCAATAATGTCACAACTGATATTGATACTCTGTTTCTCTTATGAACTTTCTGATATGAGATTATGAATTTTCTTCTGTGAGATTATGAATTTTCTCATATGAGATTATGAATTTTCTATTGTAGAATATTACATTCATTATAGTTGAACTACACATTCATAATTTAGTAGTTGGTATAGGTGTGGTTTTTTTTGCAATTGCAGTTGATGAAGACTTGGTTGGTGTTGTAGTAAGTAATAGTGATGAAGCTTTTGAGTTATATAATGGATATGCATACAGAGTTGGTTTTAGTGTGAGGAAAGGTCAACAACGTTATAAGGCATCTACTAAGTCAATTCAGATGAAGAGGTTCTTCTGTGCTAAGGCTGGGTATAAGGAGAAACCAAATAGTGGTGTCAAGCTTTATTCAAAAATTGATATGAGGACTGGTTGTGGTGCACTTGTTCAGTTTGACGTGGGGACCGATGGGATGTGGACAGTTACAAAACATGTGAAAGAGTACAATCATGAGTTATGTTCATTTGGCAAGAGTCATCTGCTCCGTTCACATAGAAGAGTGGGAAATAATCATCTTGAATATTTAAAAGATATGAAGAATAGTGGTGTTGCATTGGCAGATGGTATGAGGTTTTTGAAACATCAGTCAGGGGGTTCTCCATTGGTTAGTTTTACCAATCGTGATGCTTACAATTCGATGGCTTCTGAGAGTTTGAAGTGTTTGGATGAGACTGATTCCAATTCTTTGATTGAAATATTTAGGAGGAGGCAATCTAACGAGGCTGATTTCTTTTTTGATTTTGAAGTTGATTTGAATGGAAGATTGTGTAGTTTTTTTGGAGGGATGGTCAAATGAGACGGGATTATGAGTTTTTTGGTGATTTGTTAGTGCACGATACAACATATCGCACTAACAAATATGATATGATTTGTGGTCCTTTTGTAGGGATGAACCATCATTGCATGAATGTAATGTTTGGATGTGGGTTTTTGATGAATGAGAGGATAGAGTCATTTGCATGGTTGTTTAGAGCGTTTTTAAGATCCATGGATGGCAAGTGTCCACAGACTATCATGACGGATCAATGTTCAGCTATGGCTGCTGGCATTTCTATGGTGCTTCCTACATCATGCCACTGTATTTGCATATGGCATATTGGTGAGAATTCGAAGAAGCATATCAAGGCATTAAGGAATCATAAGGATTTTCTGGATATGTTCAATTGTGTGTTGAAATACACCGAGACTGAAGCTGAGTTTGAAGTTTATTGGACAAGGTATGTTATTATTTACTTTGTTCATTGGGTACAGTATCATATTTTGGTATTTTTAGTCATTTATACTGTGTATTCAACAGGGGATAAGAACTATGAATTTACAGTTATACAATTCTGAATTTTCTGTTATGTCATTATGTATTTTCTGTTATATGGTTATGAACTTTATAGTATGAGATTATGAATTTTCATAATAAGCTTAGTAAACATGTGTTGTAATGTTTCAGGATGGTGACAGAATATAAGTGTCATAAGAATACCTGGCTAGAGAAGCTTTATAATTGTAGGGAGAAGTGGTGTCCAGCATTTAACAAGGATTATTTTTCCGGGGGCATTTTATCTTCTCAAAGGAGTGAAACTACAAATCATTCAATTTCTAGGAGGTTGTCTAAGACTGCTGGTTTATGTGATTTTTATTCATCCTTTGTGAGTGTTATTTCTGAATGGAGAAGTAAGGAAAATGGTGAAGATTTCCGGTGTTCTTAAGGAGTACCTGCCATGATGATGGATCATGTGAAACTTCTTTCACATGCTAGAGAGGTATATACGATTGAGATATATTTTTTGTTCGAGGAACAATTTATGAAAGGTAGCTCTTGTTATCAAGAAATGGTTTTGAATGATGGATGTAAGTGCAAGTATCATGTGTGGCGACCAGACATAGACATTATAAGGCATGAAATAATTTTTAAGCCAATCAATTTGGATATATGTTGTAGTTGCAAGCTGTTTTCAGAATTGGGAATACTTTGCTGCCATTGCTTACGTATACTTCATGTCCACTGTGTTTCTAGTATTTCCGATAAATACATTCTAAAAAGATGGACTAAAAATGTTGTTGAGGGTAGAAATGTGGACATTGTATCTGTGTTTTATAATGTTGGTGTCCCTTCTTCAATTTGGGCTGTTGAGATTAGTAGGAAATTTCAAAGACTTATTGTTTCTAGTCAAGATAATAGTGTTGCTAGACAATTCTGTGATGAAGCTGTTGAGAATGCAAGGAAAAACGTTGAAGCTGAGATTGGGGATGTGAATATTGAGGGTGCTGTGTCTTTTTCAAGTGGTATTGTACAAGATCCTTCAAGTCGGAGGAGTAAAGGTGTGAGAAATAAAAGTAGTAGTGTTATTGAGAAGAAGTACAATGCAGCAAGGGGGAGAAAGAGTGCTGCAAACAAGCTTGCTTCAATTACAAAGGGCTCTGTCCAATCATTGGTCTTGGAAAATATATCAGAGATTGCTCGTGATGGATATCTCGTACATCCAAGCTCTGGGGGTTCACAGTTTGTTCATTTTAATAAGAATTTAGACCACAATGTAGATATAGATTGAGATTGTGTTAATAGAACTTAATATGTTTAGCAGTGATGTGATGAATACTATGCAAAATATTTAGATTTGAACTATATAGTTGCAATATGTTTGATGTGTACAGCTGCAGTTTTGCATTATATGTGTCAGATTATGAATTTTCCTTTATGTGATTATGAATTTTCCTTTATGTGATTATGAATTTATAGTTATGTACTTATGAATTTTATGCTATTAGATTATGAATTATATGTGTCAGATTATGAATTTTCCTTTATATGATTATGAATTTTCCTTTATGTGATTATGAATTTAATGTTATGTCATTATGAATTTAATGTTATGTAATAATGAATTTACAGTTATAATTGACAACTATAAATTCATAATCTCATACTAGAAAGTTCATATTTACATAACAGAAAATTCATAAATCCATATCTACACATTTATGATTATCTGTTCATAATTTATGGACTATATAATTATAATAAATTTAATATTACACAATAGATTTAAATTAAAATAACAGATTTTTATATTTACATAACTTTGAATTCATAACCATGCAAATTCATAATTATATAACTTTAAATTCATAATGACACAACTGAAAATTCAGAATTGTATAATTGTAAATTCATAATGACATAACAGAAAATTCATAACTATATAATAGAAAATTCATAATATGATAGTTGAAAATTCATAAATCCACATGAACCATATGTGTCCTGAATTAAGAGTAATAGATTTTATATTCACAGCTGCAAAATATTTGTTCACATTACAAAATGAGAGATTCTGAAATTAGGGTACCAACAGTCACAATTTCAAAATGAAGTATTCACAAATTTACTGCTTCATGTTCACAACATTTTCAAACCCCAAAAATATTATAGTTTCATTTCTTCTTTGAGAGCTCCCTGCTGCCTTCGTAACCCTGATTTTTTCAGTGTTCTTACCCCATGTGATAATGTTTGACGCATATTTAGCTCTCAGTTCCCAAATGAAGTCAGCCTTCAAAAAAAATATTAAATAATCAGTTTAATGGGATGTTAAAAAACAAAAAAGTAAATGTAAGTTGAAACTAATATATCTTATACTCTTACATTTACGTACACTAGTGTTTCTCTTGAACCCACTGTTCCAATTTAGCTTATTCCCCTTGTACGATTCCATGTGTCGCATGACATATATGCCACAGTCAATGACATTGTCAAGCTCCTTCTAGTGAATGTCCAAGAATTCTACAGGAAGCTTTTGTATCTTACGTAATAGGGGTGAGTTCTCTGCAGTAAAGTACTCCTTTAAAGCGGTCATCTGGACAAAAATCAAAGTAGTTACACATAATTCATAATCTTAAAACTTTAAATTCATAATATCATAATAGAAAATTCATAATATCATATCAGAGCATTCATAATATCATAACATAAAATTCATAATTTCATAAATGCACTAGTTTACCAGTAAACTGGGGCAATTTTGATATTTGTCAATTTCTGTAACACCAGCAGGCAGGCTTTTGTTGTCTATGATTTCAACCTTTTTTGCAATGAGGTTAATGCACACAACAAAGTAATGCCCGTGTCGAAGCACGGGGAAAAATATCTAATGTCAAAAGGAGAAGAAGTTAGAATAGAGAAAAAAAAAAGTGTCATTAATAAATAGAAGTTGAACGTGGGTAATTATAAATTACCAAATCAGCATCAGTAATGTCAAGATTCCTAAACTTGGCAATTTCATAGCGTAACCTCTCATTGAAATTTTCCTTCCGCTTTTGAAGTGGAAGATCCTTCATCCATTGATTAGTTGGATCAAGTTGAAGCTAAGGGGAAAAAATACGTATTAATGATAAGTTGTCCAATATGTAATGAGAATGATTAAATTATATATTCAGAATTATAGAGTCATACATTCATAGTTCCAAATTTTAAATTTTTTTGGTTTCAACTTACATGTACTAATGTGCCAAAATAGATGCATTTTGGCTTCCCCAATGCGCGTTTTGTGTTGAGGAATGTAAGCCTTAACGCCCATATATCGATGAAGGTGCTAAAAATTTCACCAATGCTCAATGTGTGGAAATCTCACCGTGTCATAGAGAATTCATCATAGCTAAACAGTGTTTCACTACAAGACCAAAAAAGTTAGATAAATAAGTAAACAAATTAATACATGTTTATAAATGTTAAATATTCATGGTAATAAAAAGTTTATTAAATATTCAGATTCAAACTTACTCTACTGGATGATTTGGAGAAGCAGCCATGAAGGCATAGTTTGATACAACCTTCTCTTTGACACTAGCATTATGAACAAACGGTGCATTCCTTGTCCAGAAAGGTGACCTCAAATTCAGCGGGATGTTTTTGAATTTTCTAATTGGCCTCTTTCGGATAGTGACATCTTCAACATCGGATTCACTATCCAGAAATGCACTGTGTGTTTACACAAAATGCATGAAGCTAGTTAACATTATCATAATTGCATAATCTCATATCAGAAAATTCATAATTGAATAACTGTAAATTCATAATGGTATAACAGAAAATACATAATTGCATAACAGAAAATTCATAATCTCAAAACTGTAATTTCATAAACTCACAATAGAAAATTCATAATCTCATATGAGAAAATTCATAATCTCACTGAAGGAAATCCATAATCTCATATCAGAAAGTTCATAAGAGAAACAGAGTATCAATAACAGTTGTGACATTATGGACATTCAAAGCTGCATAGGTAGTGAATAATATAATAACAGGAATGAGTTTGATGGAAATATATTCTATAAGAACATTCATAATTTCTAATGACATAACATAAAATTCACAATTTCGTAACTGCATTAGTTTACCTATCAACATCATCAAGGTCAGCAGCAGGTGTAGCAGCATCAGCAACACCAGGGACATCTTTGGGGAATGGCACCCTAATCAATGGAATTCTTTCTTGGTTTTCAGATGTTGAAGCAGCAGGAGCATCTTCCACAATGTTTTGAACGAGGGCATCCAATTACTCTTCATCCAACGTGCACTGCTCTTGTGGTTCTTCAATCGATGGTGTCGGGGTATAAGAAATTCCCAAATCAAATGATGGAGGTTCAAACTCCATTTGCTTGTTGGTCTTTTGAAATGCTTCAACCAAAGCATCAACTGCCTCTGTGAAAGACTCCTGGCCAAAGAAGATGTCATCAAGTTGAGAGGAGGTTGGGGTTGGTGGTCTGTCCATCGTATTAGCCACGCTAATCATGGTAGAAATG